CCCCTCCCTCCTGTCCTATAGACACCAACACCACAGGGCCAGGTTCCCCTCCCTCCTGTCGTATAGACCGAACACCACAGGGCCAGGTCCCCTCCCTCCCGTCCTATAGACCGAACACCACAGGGCCAGGTCCCCTCCCTCCCGTCCTATAGACCGAACACCACAGGGCCAGGTACCCTCCCTCCCGTCCTATAGACCGAACACCACAGGGCCAGGTCCCCTCCCCTCCCGTCCTATAGACCGAACACCACAGGGCCAGGTCCCCTCCCTCCCGTCCTATAGACCGAACACCACAGGGCCAGGTCCCCTCCCCTCCTGTCCTATAGACCGAACACCACAGGGCCAGGTCCCCTCCCCTCCTGTCCTACAGACACCAACACCAGAAGGCGAGGTCCCCTCCCCTCCTGTCCTATAGACCGAACACCACAAGGCCAGGTCCCCTCCCTCCCGTCCTATAGACCGAACACCACAGGGCCAGGTCCCCTCCCTCCTGTCCTATAGACACCAACACCAGAGGGCCAGGTCCCCTCCCTCCCGTCCTACAGACACCAACACCACAGGGCCAGGTCCCCTCCCTCCCGTCCTACAGACACCAACACCACAGGGCCAGGTCCCCTCCCATCCTTCACACACGAGGAAAGGTATGCAGCACAGCATCTGAGGCCATCTTGAGGGACAGTGCCACAGGACAGGTACAGTGACCACACAGCCCTGATGCTCTACACCCCTGGCCACTCTCCCTCCAATAGAACCTCACTGTATACTTCATTTCCAACCAGAGAGAGCAGGGCACTTGTAGGGTGGCACAGATGCCCTGTACCCCACGGGCCTTTCCTGGAGAGGATCCATAGCAACGCACCAGCTAGCACACACACAGCCACACACATCCGGCGGTCCACCCCCTAACACCACTGGCACACAACCCATGCGGCCGCTGGGCACAGCACGCCAAGGCCACTGGAATGCAAATCGGCGGCTGCCAGGGGCTGGGGGATAAGGGAGCATTTGGGGAGTGAGTCCCAGTGGTAAGGAGCTTCCTTCTAGGGTATACAAATGTTCCCGAATTACAGTGGTGAGGGTGGCACAATGTGTACTAAATGTCACTAATGGTAAATTCTGTTTTATGTATTTTACCACGATTTTAAAAAACCACACCCAGGATCAGGGACTCACTGTGATATCCCATGCCCGCTTCTCCTCTCCCAGGGATGGGGATGGTTCTCTCTAGGCAGATAGCAAAAACCTCTGCTGTCCACTTCTGAACACTCAGGAATACGGCATTACAATTAGATCAACCACAGCCACAGGCGTTATTGAGTCATCCGGGAGCCCCAGGCACCATTAGGGGGATGGACACCACTTCCTGCCCAGTATCGGAAGGATCTCCCAGGGCTGCTGTTTTCAAGAATTAGCCAAGTCCCAGCTGAGCAGGCACCTGAGGGGCTGGTGCTGGCTTAGAAAAATGTTGAGTCCACGGATTCGGCCTAGGGAAGCTTTGTGTGGCTCCTAGGGGGCAGGACAGCCTCCCAGCCACGCACGCCACCCTGGGACCAGCCTGGCTGGTGTGTGCTAACCTGAATAACTGCGTTGTTGGAGGACACTGTGGATTTGCTAGCTAAGCCCAGGGCTGGGCGGTGACGGAGCCCTGGAGACAGTGACAGCGCCAACCCTGGAAAGGGAGCGGTTCCTGACCTGAAGCCCCCGCGGGCTCCAGCCCCACGTGCGTCCTCAGAGCACTCGCCTTCGCTTGCGGGCAAAAAAGCACCTCCCCGGAGCCTGGCAGAGCTAAAGTGCTGGGTGTTTACCCAAGATAGCTATTTGGGGAAAAGGAGGAGAGAAACGCAACATTTCTTCCAGCTTCCTGCCAACCCCCTCAGCGGATGAATTATTCCCATGGGCTCATCCTGTTGGTCCCTAACTGAAAGACACAATCCATGTGGCCTTTTTATCCCAGGAGATGTTGAGGGGACGGGGACACTGTGACTCGGAATAAGTGACCAGGTCATGAACCTGAAGGACACGCTCCCTCATTGAATAATTAATCAAGGACCGCTGCCTGAGCCTGGAGGACGCCAGCCCTCAGCCAGGCTGCAGGCTCCGCCACCAGGGCGCTTCCGGCCCTGGCTTGCCCCCAAAACAGCAAAACTGGGGTGCTGGGGGCTGGGAGCAGACACCGGAAGGCCAGGCCGCCCTCCGCCTCCGCGCCCCAAGTCGGGCTCTGGAAGACTCCGCAGCTCCGAGCATCCCGCGCCCTCCTCCAGACCCCCTCCCAAGAAGATGCTTCCTCCTGCCCCCACCCCCTCCGAAACTTCTGTGTCCCCAGAAGCCGGAAAAAGTTGAAGGGCACCGGGGGCTGCGGGGGCGCGCGGGACCGGCCTTCAGCACCGCGGACAGCTCCGGGCGTGCGGCGGCCCCGGGACTGCGACCCCGGCCCCCCACCCCGCCCCTACCTGTCGTCGTTCTGGAAGGACGGGTCGCCCAGCAGCAGGTCCCGGAAGCGGTAGCGCGGCGGCAAGGGCAGCACCTCCGAGTCCAGGTCGCTCATCTTGAAGCCGGCGGTGTCCAGGAGCGCGCCGTCCCCCGCGCAGGGCCGCCTGCGGGCACACGCCAGCACCCCTCAGCCCGCGCCGGGCACCCTCGCGGACGCGCGCAGCCGGCCCGACCAGCGAGGCCCGCGGCCACCAGCGACACCGGGGGCGGCCGGGGGGGGCGGGCGTGGCGGCACCATGCGGAGCGGGGCGCGCGCGGCCGGCTGCGCCGGGGCTGGGCGCCTACGGGCGGAAGCGGCTGCGCAGGGGCAGGGGGCGGGGCCTCCCTCCAAAGCGCCGCCCCTGGGGCCTGGCAGGAGGTAAGCGGGGACGAGACGTCCATGCCAGCTCAAGAGGGTACAGGCGCCGCATGCACTCCTCCCTGATTCCCCAGGAGCCGGGAGGGAGGCCTCCCCTGCCCTGAATGCCCCGCCAAACTCCTCGCAACCCTCCCAACTCTCCAACTCCCCTCCGTGTCCCCAGGGTCTTTGCTAAAAGGCCTGGCTGCTCAACCTTCCTTCAGGGTCCTTCAGGGTCCAGAACACCCATCCCAGCCCCCGAGACCACCGTTTATGACCCTCAGGCTGTTGAGGGGTGAGGGTGGAGGGACCAGGAGGCCTAAGAAGACACCCTTGTTTGCAGCCTCCCCAGGTGGAGCGGCTCAGCTCAGGTCAGAACCCTGCGGCGGCTGCCAGGCCCTCTGGGCCCTAAGCTGCACTGCCACTGTCAGCAGGTGAGGGATCAAAGGGACACAGAGAGCTGGCAGTGCAGGGTAGGGGCATTGTGGCACACTGGGTAGAGTGGGAGGATCTCTGGTGGTCTGCAGTTCTCGGGTGCCCAGGCAGGTGTCTTCCAGGGGTCTTGCACCTTTCCTGTCCCCATGTCCCCCACTGAAGTGAGTTTTGGCTGCTCCAGGAGAAGCAGGAACTGAGGGGCAGGGAGCTCCTTACCTGGCCCAGGCCCACCCTTGTTCAAGGCTTTGAGGCCAGCAGGAGAGATAGGGGGATGGAGGGGACTGGCTCCCCCACAGGCAGGGGCAGGAGGCTGTGATCACACACAGCTCCCCATGCTGTGCCCGTAGGCCCCGCACAAAGGCCACTCACCTGGAACACCAGGTCCAGGGACCCTACAAAATTCTCTTCTCTCTCCTTAAGTCGGGACGGACGGGCACATTCCTTGAGCCCCCACCAAGTGCCTCTCCTGGGCCCCCTAACCCTCAGACAAGCAGCAGGCAAGGAGCTATGGGCACCCCAGGCCGAAGCTGCAGGGAGCAGGTGCGTGCCCCAAACCCTGCTCCTTGTTCTGAGGTCACAGGTTCAACCCCCAGGATCTGGCAGCGATTGAAAAATAACATTTTCCTAATTGCATCAGCGTAGCTGCATGTTTTTCCTTAGTCACAAGCTGGCTGGGGCCATGGGGAGGTGCAAGCAGGCAGGGGAACCACGTGGCCAGGGGTCGGGGCTATATTTTCTTGGTTTTGTGCCTTCCTTACTGAAAGCCCCTTTCAGTGTAAACCCTGAGGGACTGCCGGCACCTCAGGCGTGGCTGCCTCCTCCCGCCCCGCCCCGTCTGCCTTTTGAGCGGCTCTGGTTCCTCCTCCTGTCCTCAAGACCCAGTCTCAGCAGGGCCCATGGACAAGCTCAGCGGGTGGGACCTTGGCTTGCTTCAGGGGTCACCGGGGGAAGGAAGTGCACCAGGAGTCCAGAGACCTGCCCCACCCCTGCTCCCCAGATGCGGCCTGGGGAGAGTGACAAGGACAAGCTGCCCTTCCTCCCTTGGGGAGCTGCTTTGACACTTGAGTGAGCACACGGCCATGAGCAGGTGTCCCGCAGGCCTCCTGGCATCCTGCCTTGTTCCCCCCACAGAGCCAGAAACCTTGAAAATACTTGGCTGTTGTGTTGGCTGAGGGCCGGGGCTACAGGGTCTCTGGGAAAGGTGCCCATCGCAGGAGGACAGCGGCAGAGCAGCTGCTCCCCATGTCCTTGGGGTCTGGTTGAGACTTTTCCCAAGCAGGAAGGCCTACATCGGTCAGCTTTTTTGGGCACAGGGGGATAGGGGAGTGTTGGGGGATCCAGTCCCTGCCGAAGCTGGTTCAGGTGGAACTGGAACACAAGCCTGGCATAGCCAGACACGGGGACCCCGGGGCCCACCTCGAGATTCTGCATCCCCTCTTCTCTTGTGCCCTCCTCCCTGTGTGACCCAAGGGCCCTGGAGGAAATCTAGGACCCCCAAGACCACATCCATAATCTTTTTGAGTGACGGCTGTGCCAAATAATTGCCAATTTCCATAAGAATTCTGTGCTTTGGTGGCTTAAGGAAGGTGTCCCTCTCCTCAGCCCTTACACCACTCTCTGGACAAGGTGTGGAGCTCAACCTGGACTCACACACCCCTTGAAGCCAGGGCTGAGGTGACAGGACACAGCACACCCCCTAGGCAAGGCCGGGGCAGTCCAGGGGCTCAGAGCATCCCTATTCCTCTTGCGGACTCTCTGGGCTGTCCGTACACACCCTGCAGGCCCAGGGCGTGGCAAGAGTCCTGCTGGCATGAGCACGACTCAGTCCTGGCCCATCAGTCCTGGCCCATCAGTCCTGGCTGGGCAGCTCCCGGCTGGGCACTTCACCTCCCTGAGCCTGTTTGCTCATGTGTGAAGGGAGATACTGATGCCCGTTCCCTTATAGGACGACTGTGAAGATATAACCAGACAGCACGCCTGAGGCACTCGGAACAGGGCCTGCACGTGAGTGCTCAGCTACAGCAGGTGTAGCGTGGCCAGCAGTTTGGCTGAGCTCTCATGGACAAAGGCTATGACCCAGGATGGCCGGTGCCCAGTGTGCCCCCTCCGCTCAGCCGAGGCCCATCAGGGAGCTCAGGCTTGGGACACTGACTTTAGGAATCCATCTGGAGAGGCCAAGAATGAGCAAGGCAGTGCACACCCGGGCACGGCAACAGGAAGTCCCCGCCAGCTGTTTGGTGCGTAGGTAGTCACGGGCACTGACCCCGACGACCCCGTCAGAAGGGAGCCCGGCAGCCGCGCTCAGTGCCAGCTGCCATGGACTGAGAGCCAGCTGCACGCCAGGCACCCTGGCAAGCCAGGTGGTGGCATGGAATCCTGAGAACAGTTCTCAGAAGCCAGGACAGTCTCCATGCCTAGTGCCTGGCAAGAACAAGTGGCTCCCAGAGCCCAAGGAGCATCACTGAGGTCCCGGCAGAGACGCCGGGGTCGGGGCCAGGTCCAGGTTCACCTTGGGCTGTGCTACCTTTGGGCAGCTGGGGGCTCTTCTGATAGCCGGGAGTGCCTGCTTCTCACTCCCCTTGCATCTGTCCCCAGTGGCCATGGAGCCAGGGCTGTCTGACAAACTGCTTAAAAACCAGCTTCTCCCGCCAAGGGCCCTGGGCATTCCTGTTCCAGTTGGGAATGCGAGGCTGCCCGTGCCACCATAATGGAGGCCTTATCTGTGCACTGCTGCGAGGAAAAGGATAGAAGGAGGGAGTCGTGAAGGGGGCTTGTTTGGAGCTGGCATGATTATTTACTGGAAAACCCAAGAGGAATCAGCTGAAAACCTACTACAGCAAATACGGAACCTAGTACGGCGACCAACCCAGGAGCACCACGGACAGCAAGAGCAGAGGGCCACCAGGAGAAAGCCCTGCTCACAGCAGGTGCAGGGACTCTGAACTCGGGCTCCACCTTGCCCCAAACCCACAGGGGCACACGGCATTCCCAAGAGCTGGACTGGAAGCTGTTGCTGGCGGGAGACGGACGTCTTCCTCCCAACGGTCCAACAGTCCCTTCTCCAAACACACGGGCAAAGGGAATCGCTGCCAATCAAGAGCGCATCCCTATTTTCTCAGAATTTGATTAATTGCTTCAAAAATTAATCCTGAAGAATATACATGCAAGAACAGGCACAGCGGTTGTGAGGAGGAACAGAGAGGGCCCTCGTCGTCTGCTGCCAGCACCAATGTCCAGCCACAGCAGCTGACACTCCGCGGTCTGGCTCAAGAAAAGACAGAGCGGTGAGACACAGCAGAATACCTCGACCGGCTGAAGCCCACGTTGGCATCCAGGCTTGAGAAAGGAGGCAGGGGCACTCACTGGTCCTATGGTATCGGGATAAGTGCAGCTCCAACTGTCCTGACTCAAGTTATGGCTGCAAATATCAAGAGGAGTGATCTCCTCCCCATTGTGCTGATGGAGAAATGGAGGCCGGAGAACTTCAGAAACACACTTGACCTTGTTCCTTTTTTTTTTTTTTTTTTGAGACGGAGTCTTGCTCTGTCACCCAGGCTGGAGTGCAGTGGCCAGATCTCGGCTCACTGCAAGCTCCGCCTCCCGGGTTCATGCCATTCTCCTGCCTCAGCCTCCCAAGTAGCTGGAACTACAGGCACCCGCCACCTCGCCCGGCTAGTTTTTTTTTTTTTTTTGTAATTTTTAGTAGAGACGGGGTTTCACCGTGTTAGCCAGGATGGTCTCGATCTCCTGACCTCGTGATCCGCCCGTCTTGGCCTCCCAAAGTGCTGGGATTACAGGCTTGAGCCACTGCGCCCAGCCCCTTGTTCCTTATTTATCCTTGTTTATCACTTGTCCCCTTGCTTCAGGAGGGCCAGTGCTTGAACCCAATACCCGGCTCCAGCCTACGCTATCCAACGTGCCTTCTGTTGGATAAAATAACATTAGACCCCACGCTGCAGCCCCAAACCATGGACAAGATGGAAAGAAAATACAGGAAAAAGTGTTTAGAGCTGAGAAGACCTTTTATTTAATATACAAAACCCAAAAATCATCTATTCCAAGAGGAATAGATTTATAAATGCTTCTACATCTGAACAAAAACACTGCTGTTTCACAAAAGACATCACTGGCAAAAGGAAAGAACAAGCGACCAACAGGAAGAACATATTCGCAACAGCATAATTATCAGAACACAGCCCTGTGCCTACAGGATCCGTAGAAAGGAAAACAATCTAGCAGAAAATACGGCCCGGCGCAGCGGCTCAAGTCTGTCATCCCAGCACTTTGGGAGGCCAAGGTGGGTGGATCAGCTGAGGTCAGGCGTTTGAGACC